CAAACTATATATATATTTAGTTCTTTATTCTCAAACTGTTTCACCACAAATGACAGCTCATTTCACAAACAGCTTATCTTATGGCTAAAGATATATAAATACATACTAAAAATGCTGCTGAAAGTCTCTGAATGTATAATGCAGCCTGGTAGACATGGTAGTGATTGTAACACTGCATTGTAGACACAAATGTTAAAGAAACTTGGCAAGAAGCAACACATTTTAGCTACTCAAAATTCAGATTTTCTCAGACTTGTCCCCTTCTGATGAATGGAACATATGGGAGTATTGTTCATAAAACTTACATTGCTTTTCTTGATGTCTACCAAAATTCCTCATCATGACAATATTTACCAAGATACATACAGATTCAAATTTGAATTAATTACCCAGAAGTTTTTCTCTACTTCCAGGTTTACTGGAAAAGAAAACCACTTCAGAAGCAATGTGTTGTGAGTATTTAACAGTAGATGTTATAGCAACAGAGGTAGCAGAGTGCTTGCTGGGGAAGGGTGCTATCCAGTTAAAAGCCATCAGTGCCGAGCGAGATAAAAGACAGGGAAGAAAGCAGCTGCTTTGCCAAGAAGCAGTTTGAAATCTGACATTATAAACAAAACACATGTAAATCTAGACATAAATCCTCGCTCCTGTACTGAAGGCTCCATAATATTTTAGCTAGCATTATTACTTACAAACAAACACTTCCTGAAACACAGCATCGCAACTGCAGAACAGCCTTTAACCTCGTGTTCATCCACTCGAGAGCCGTGTTATTTATTATCCTTTATCCCTTAATTATGGGGACTTCACCTACTGCTCTCTGCTCATTTGAAATGCAGAATAAAATACAATGGATGTCTGAAGACTTAACAGGTGTCAACCAGATATTTGCCAGCTACTGCTACTATTCTACTGGGAGGAGTTGCTGTTCTATAAATACTAATTAGAGTTTTGCACATGATCTTGCTGAAATACCTAAGGTGATGAGTGGCCAGTTGTTACTTTTAAAAGATTAGCACAATTTGAAAAACTAATGTCCCCAATGAGGCAATGCTCACACTGAATAATCAAGAGTTATAGCTGCTCTCTGCCCAAAGGGAATATTTGCTCACTTCATCATTTGGAAAATCTGCTGCCTCTCGAACAACTCACTCTTCTATTTAACTTTGAGAAACTTGTAAAACTTCACGCAATCAATATAATAGTATGGTATATGTACCTGGATGGGCTTCCACTGCTAGGCCACATGGTAGGCTTTACTTACACCTTCCAAAGACAGAGCTTTTAGTGTGAACTCGTGATTAAGAAACTGCAACAAAATAATGTTGCACTTAAATGAAGCCCGAAAGAAAAATAAGATTATAGTACAAAGTCCACAAACATAGCAAAAATTTAATGTCCTCAGATCCACCTCCCTTCAAATTTTTCACTTCTACTGAACAGACAGAAAAAAAAACAAAGGCAAATCTGAACAGGTCTCCATGATATTGAGTTTTTATATATTATATATATTAATTTTTTATTTTAAAAACCCCACTAATTCTCTAAAATCTCAGTGCAATATATCTGAACAACCAGCTAATTTCAAGCAAAGTGCTAAAGTGACCAAAGATGGACCATTCCCTTGGTTTGTAATAAAATCTCGAATTTCACCTTGTCCAATTTGCTGTGGAAAGCAACTGATATCACATTGTGTGACACAATGCTGTATTTCTATATATGAGCTGTGATTCAGTGTAGTGAAATTTGACTGATACAACAGACACAACCCTGCACTATTCAGTGTTCGTGACCATGTATGGGGACAACCTATATAATTTTAATCAGAATTTATTTTTCAGGGGTTTTTTTTTTTTTTTTTTTTTTTTAATCTTTTTTTCTTTACCATGAAACCTGTTTTTTCCCTATCCTTCAACATACTGCTTCCTCTTTTCCAGTAGCTCATTACTGGAAACGTTTGGCCTTACTTCAAAAGAGAAGAATATGTCAACAGCAGAACATCTGTGTCCACACAGAGTGCTTTGATGACAGTGATATACTCCATTTACATCAGTAACACTGAGCTGAACCTTGATGCTGTCTGCATTTAAAGATCTTACCCCACAGGGCAAGAGAATACAGGTCAAAAACGTTGCTCTCTGTTTGACACACTCTCTACTTCAAGAGCACTTGGCAGCGATTTGTTCCACAGTCAAGAATCAAACTCACAAAACGTTGCAGAGCTTGGAGCCATGTTTGCATAACCACATTCAAAACAAGCATTAAAATTCAGTCTCTGGAGGCCAATCTACTGTTGATATGCAGGGGTTTGTGAGCAATATGGTCAAATTCTAGCCTGAATGCAGTGGGAACGTTCTCATATAAATCAAAAGGGTGTAACTCAGGCTTGGGTATCTGTTATTAAGAGGAGTGGTGTTCCTACATCTCTCAAATGCAAAAAGGACACTTTATCCCTCTAAAACTCAAACTTGATTATATAAAAGGGGGAGTGGACTGGTTATGTGTGACACAGAATCGCATCTATCAGCATGGCCAGAGGAAGTTGGGTAATTTAGGTATGGAACACGTGTCTCCACAGGCAGGCACAATAATAAACTCCTCAAATATTTCATACAGAGGAGTTCAGAAATGAAGGCTGACCTACAGACTATTTGGAGCCCATGGCTTCTGGTAATCATCCTTTTTAACTTGATTTTAAAACATTTAGCGTTTCTTCAGCTTTTTGTAACGAATATATCATCCTCTAATTTAATTACATTATGTCCACTAAACTGCTACGCTGACATAAATCCCAATATAAGGTGGAGAGTTTCAATAGTTTCCTTCCACACCTTCCCACCCTCGTGTAAAGCTCAGCACTTTGGCAGCATTGAATGATTCAGTACTGCTCACAAGACTAATATATCCAAAACATCAGAGGGGATCAAATCCATGCAGTTGGATATTGCCCTGTTGGTGTTGAAGGCCCACAACCACCTGGGTGCTGCATTAGCACCTGCAAGGACCAGCAAATCCTCTTTCAGCAAACAGAGGAGGAGAAAATTTTGTTTACAGGTTTCACTAGAATGCCATGGAAACAGATACAGAGGTAACTGTGAAAGGCATAATCCAAATGGAAGACAGCCCTAATAGAACTCGCATACCCAAAAATAATATGTATGTTTTCCCACTTGGAAAACACATGCCCGAATCCTATTAATGTCAAGACAGAAAATTATACTGAGCAGACCCCAATATCACTAAGGTCCCTGATAACAGTAGGAATTAATGTGCACCTTCAAAGTAGAGCAAGATGTTTTCATATGCAGACTATTAGAAAAAAATATATATCTTAATAGAATAATCATCTTTTTAAAGAAAAAAAAATTACATCTCGAATTTTTGAAACAGGATTAAAGTATGGTAGTAGCCCTCTAAAAGGAAGCTGCTCAGCACCTGCTGCCTACACTGTGCCTGGCTCCAGGCAATGTTATTCATTCCTCGCTTTCATGGGAGCAAAATACAACCTCTAAAAATATAAAACACAAAAATAAATAGATCTCCGGGGAAATGGAAGAGAAATCTGTTTTAAAAATAGTGAGAAGCCTATATGTTCTAAAAAAATAAGTCCATTTTGCATTGTTTTGTAAGATTTACACTTTAATTTGAAACCAAAGTAAGGTATAAAATTTGTATGAAAGCAATATCTGATTTATAGATGAAGTTAAAACACAATATACTTAGCTGCAAATACCAGACCCCAGTGAGAGAAGGAAAAGGTTCTGAAAGATGATTAAAGTATGCTTGATAAATGTGGCCCTGCAATGCCCCAAAAGATTTTTCTGAAGTTAAGTGGTAAACACAATTAACATGACTTTTGCTACCAAAACACTAAACGCAATGGATTTTTTTAATTAATTTTCAATGTTATTACATGTTCCTATCGAGCTGGAATTGACTCAATCCACTAACTGTACTGAGAGACAGCTCTTCTGTCCACATGACCTTAACACCTAGACAAAAAGCCAAATATCCATTCTGCTGGTCACATGAAGAGGAAGCCACACAATAACAACGGTCTTATGACCACCAAAAGTTAACATCTTGTGAGTGGAAATTTTGTGGCGGTTGAAGCATTTAAGAAAGATATATTTGTAAGGCTCAGGCAATGTCCAGCTTGATTAAATGTATTCTTAATTAACCAATAAAAAGCAGCAGCTGTGAAGGCTGACAAGAATCCCTTGCTGTACACTTCTGGCCTAACCTCACTATCCATATTCAAACAAGTCTCCTGGCAAAGGCAAATCATATAATTCTTGGGAGTCCTGCACGCATTCGGACTCACCAGATTTACATATTATTATTCACAGGAGAGGTTTCATTACATTTGCTTTGAGAAAATGTACCATCTATATGGGTATTCACGTGTTTAATATGCACATGCCTTTCCATTTTGTATTTATTATAGAGCTTATGAGGAGGTTGTTTGGCCTCCTTCTGTCTCAGACCAAGCACTGCTCACTCACGTGAGGTCAACTCACATGGCAGAGCTCACGTTCCTCCATCACACTCCAACCACCCCAAAACAGGGAGAGCAATTCCAAGCAGCCTCTCAGAACCAGTCCAGCCACCAGTCCATCTCCCAAACTGTTTGCAAGCTTTTTGGGGCAGACTGTCAGCTGATACAGCCCAAAACTGCGACAGGGACTGTCCTCACCGTTGGACAGTCACTGAAAAACAGTTTGGCCCAAGCCTTGACTGTTCAGTTTGCTTGAATGGACTTCAATTCAGTGATGCTACTTGAAACCAGGCACTACAACACACCATAGCAGCAAGGCTGGAAGGGGCCTCCAGAATTCACACTACCCATCTGCTCCAAAGAGAGCCTGTGCTCACAATGCTGCAGGATCAAATTTCTCATACTCTTATGTAAAGGTGCCCCTAAGCCACAGGGGCTTTGCTACAAGTGTCAAGTACAACCCTTTTATCTCATAAAGCAAGTCTCTGAGAGTAAAACTTACCATTTTGGTCTGCTGGTGGATTTCACCATCGGAGCCATCCCATCTCTATAGAGGCTTTTTGTTTTACTGAAGTTGACAACATTGAAAATTACTCTCTGGGGGGGAAAAAAAGTAAAAGAAAAGAGATCAGGTATAAAATCTCAAAGAATTTCTATGTGTGCTGCCTATACCAGCTGCATAAGAATATACAGAGATAATATATAAAACAGATGTGTGTCATGAATTATTGTTACTCTCAATAGATCAATATCCTGCCTGTTCCAAGTATTTAAATTGTCTGCGTTGTTTTACACTGCATTGATGCACATGAAATGTATGTTTTTAATTTAGTATGTTGATTTTTCAGTAGGCATCCTAGCCACATAAAGAAATAGGCTGCTCAGATCTGAAAACAGTACAGCAAGTCCAGTTTGCTGCAGTGAACATTATAGAGGTTGGTGGAAAGCTGGGAGATGGGGTATCAGTCCTCATGAAAATCTTCTAACTGCTCCATAGAATCCTAGGGTAGAATCATAGAATCACTAAGGTTGGAAAAGACCTCCAAGATCATCAAGTGCAACCATTAACCCAGCACTGACATGTCCACCACTAAACCATGTCCCTAAGCACCACATCTACACATCTTTTAAATCTCAGGGACTCAACCTCTTCCCTGTGCAGTCTGTTCCAATGCTTGACAACCTTTTCAGGGAAGAAACTTTTCCTAATATCCAACCTAAACCTCTCCTGGCACAACTTGAGGCCATTTCCTCTTGCCCTATTTCTTTAAGGGTAATGGACTGATACTGAAAGGAAATTCATGCAGGGGAAAGACAAGAGAAAACAGAGACAAAACCTTCTTCCTTACCATCTGTCTGCTCTAAGTCATTTTACACAAAGTTACTTATTCTGTTTCTGTTAAGAAAATCTAAATTGGATGTAGCTCATCTCACGTAGTACATTGACTTTTCAGATGGTAAAGGCAGTATCCCTCATTTGTCACATTCTCTTGATACCCGATATTAACGTACACAGAAAAAAACAGAATACGAAGGCTAAAGTAATTTTTATATAACAGTCCAGGATATATTGATACATTCAATTTCTGCCTCTCTCTTTACACTTCTTTTTCACAGGTAGCAGTGAAGACAGACCACCGAAAATGATATTCCCACATTTGTTTTTAGACCAGCCTATTGTAATGCTCGCATTCTTACATAATGGTTCCTGAGAAGCCTTAGAACTGAACAGTCACTGATTAAAATCAGGCAATTTTGATTGAAACAATAAGATCAATTAAACTATCATCTGTAAAACTTTGCAAAAACCAATCTGGACTTTCCAGGCAGCCTGCTCAGGCAACAGTGAATGATAAGATTGAAGTGAAAGCAGTCAGCAGTGGGACAAGAACAGGAACCAGGCACATTTACACTGATATGTGGGGCAGGTAAGGAGCCAGGTAAACTACACAGCACTGAGTAAGTAGCTCTGTACTCAAGAAAAATTAAGCAAGTTTTTTCGAGGTAAGGTAGTGCTGAAGATTCTGTAAATGGCAGCACAAACTTCTATGTGTGCGAACTCCATAAACTAATTAAAAAAAAAAATAAAAATAACCTGTAGTTTTGACTGGAACTGACCTGAAAAATTAGCAAGTTGAGAAAAACACTTCCTTGAAGATGTTAATTCAATTTTGCACCAAAGGTAATAAGGAAACTACAGGTGCCTGCACATGAGGTTTCATATATTTTGAGATTTTCCAATGGTCATGAGATGAACTTACTTTTATGACTCCAGACGAAAACATGCACTGAGTTTACAAAACGTTATGTTTGCGATTTTAAGTATTTAGGATACTGCTTATCTGATGAAATATCCACCTCAGGAGGTCTCTAGTTATTTTCCATCATCTCATGTTTACAATATTTGGCTCTAAGTTCGAGAATGGTATTTAGGTCTCTATACATTTCATGCTCTACATGGAAGCATTTCCCCCTATTAGAAGGCCCAGATTTTCCTCTGTTACTTAACTCTGTTCATATTTGTGAAAACAAATTAAGTTGCAACAAATTGGTTTGTTAATCTTGATGTTTGCATGGAGTGAATGAAACAAACAAGATCTCCAAACCAATTGCCTTAAACTTTGGATGCAATCATGTCACTGTTGGAAAGAGAAAGTTGCTAATTTTGTTGCGTACTGACTCAGAGCAGACAGCTGGTAGAGAATGTTCTTATTCCAATCAAGCTTATTTTGTATAATGAGCTGGGCAAATGTACACAACTGGGTAAGCAATGTATATAAAAACAAAAATATGCAGCTCATTTAACAAAACAGTGCAGATTCTAACATTTCCAGCGCCCGTGTTCGCCGCGGAGGAAGCAGTTAGCGGGGCGTGCCATTCTCCCAGCGTGGCACGGAGCGAGACCGGCAGAACCAAAAATTTAACAGCACAGCGCAGAACTTTATCAACACACACCACTGGAGTAATAAAGCACACAAACCGAAGCACTCAAATGAGCAGCTGAACTCCGTCAAGTGTTCCCGGCGATAGTTAAAATAGTTCATGCAGCTCGGGCAGTGGAGTGTGCAAAAATGTAATGACTACAGGACACACGCTGCAAAAATATGCAGCTTGCTCAATAAGGTATGCAAACATCCCCGAGCTGAATGCTGTAATAAAAAGGTTGTGATACAGCAATCAAAGTTTTGCTGAACAAATCCAATTCTTAGTCTCGTTTCTATCTATATCGACTGCGCACTGTAAAGGGAAAAAGGACTAGATAAACACTGGGCCCATCAAACCGCTCTTTTGCAAGAAAATTATCACTATTCTGTATGATTTTATGAATTATAGAGATGTCCAATGGGTGTCATGTAATAGGTAATATAATTCAGATACTCCTTTACGAGTATTTAAGAATTTAGGAAACGTTAAGGAAAAAAAACCTGGATTAAATGTACTTACAAATTCCCTAGAAATCACTCTGGTCTCCAGAGCATCAAGACAGAGAGAAATGGTGGAAATTTTTACTATAAAAATGCTTGTTGGGTATTTTGTAGGGTACGAATATCGCTAAAAGATGAAATATTCAAACTAAATTATATTCATTTCTGAATACTGAAAGAGAAGCAATATTCAAACTGAAAATATTCATATCTGAATTATCAGAAATCACAGTTGTGTGGTTTTACTTCAGTTATGATAAAATCTTAAATATACTGCATTATTCTCACAAACTGATCTGCAACTTCTGGGTAGGTGGAAGCAGCATGGTGTAAAACAGCCTCTTGGGACACCACCAAGTAAAACCATGCTCTTGAGGGATGCATCAGGATGGATTGTGGCTTCACAGCATGAGGAAAGGCAACTGCTGCAGTCTCAGGCTCTGTGCGTGGGCTGCCAGATCCGAGACAGATGCTGGAGAACATGAGGCAAGGCAGGTATGTTCTACCCGTCAAGAGAAAAAGGAAGATTTCCTATTTCCATAATGTGTGCAGGAAGTTTGAATTTGAAGGTATCTTGCTGCTAAAACCATTAAGAGAGAAAAGTAAGGAAAAGCTTAGTCCTGCCTTTAGCCTTAAAACTTACCGATTAAATCTACTTTTCCCAATAGTCCTTTGCAAACCTATTTCAGGAATTAAAAGCACAAATAGGTATTAAGTGCTAAGTGTGTTTAACACGAGCAGGATAAAGATGAACCATGAACATAAAAGGGAAAAGATGGCTGAAATATATCACATATTTTTTCTTACTACCAGCAGTTTGCTGTTTCCTGACTGGGGCTGGAAGGAGCTGCTCTTGTTTTGGTGGCCAAGCACACATCTGGGTGGTTTTGGTTTGGAGCTGAAAGCATTGAGTGGGGATGGTCATATTGAGCATCATATTCCCACAGGTCTGTGGGAGCACAAGGTGAATTGTAATCTCTAAAACATTCATTTTTCACCCACCTCGTGGCAGGTTTTCCATCTGAACCTACCAACTGAAGCAAGTATCCAAAAAAAAGTCACACCTTTGACAAAGGTTAAGTGCCTTCCCCCAGGATAAGGACGTACCAGGTCCCTTCAAAAAGGCTCCCAGGTTTATTTTGCATGGTTTTCCCTGGCTGGCTTCTCACAGAAATAGCTGAGTTCCTTTGGCTGGCATTAAAAGAAGGGGGAAAAAAAACAAACACACCATGGAACACCACAAAATTCTGCCTGAGGCAGACACCTGGCACGGAAAATTTTGTGTCAAATCATTACAAGTATGAGAAGTTATAACTAGCTGAAAACAGGGTTTGCAGTAGGAAGTGTGGGGTGTTCTTAATATTGATGTAACATACACATATTAAATATTTATAATTATATAATACATTTACATTAATAGCATAATGATTTCAATTCAGTGGACAATGCTGAATGCTACAAGTATGACACAAACTTCACTACAAACTGCCAAAGTACCTGGGGACCAATTCTTTGAAGTCAGGCATGAACAATTTCTACATTTAACCAGCCAAAATAAGAGAACTGGGCATTAAGTAATAATATTAAGACCTTTCAGCTGAAATTAACTCTGAACTCTTGTGCTCTGAATAAACATTAAAGATCCAAAGGTGCAGGATATCATGGGGCTCTGCTCTGCTTATATTGTTTGATGTCTTGATTTCCTCTCCTGCAGGTTCTTCAGATATTACAGTGTTTTGTGAATTCCTGAAACTTGCACCTTTTTGTGAGATGGGTTCTTGCCTTTGTCAAGAATCATGGTTATCCTTTCCTTCCTTCCTTCCTTCCTTCTTTTTTTAAAAAGCCTTTCTTTTATACATGTACCTTTATGTATGTTTATGAAGAGATATATATGTTACAGATGTAAGGAACTCCTTTAAGGGGCAGACCTACTTCAGAATAGCATTCCATTACAAAAAAAAGAAAAAAAAAAGAAAGAAAGGAAAGAAAGAAGAAAAAAAGAAAGAAAGAAATCCAAACAAAAAAGAAAAATGAATTTTCAAGCCAACCCTATGACTTGTGAGATTTTGAGACACTATTTATAAATGTGAGAAACCGGCAACACGGGATTGCTGCCTGCTCACAAAAAAATGCTGCATTTTGGTATTTGGTCTTTAGGATCTCTCCTGACAA